TCGACTTGATAAAGACTACGCTAAGCTCATACAACAAGGCGAAGACGTGAAGACAGATGTTCAAAAAATTGTTGACAATTTGATTGCCGTCATTGAAGCGAAGAAACAAAGTATTTTCTCAGCCGTGGATAATCAGACAACCAAATCGCTAGAAAGTCTGACAAAGCGTAAGAACAAGATCGAGGAACAAATAATGGTCATAGAAGCGTCGCTAGAAAAGGCTGAAAAACTTTTAACACGAAGTATAAACGCTGAAGTTGTACAACTCAAGAAATCATTGGAGAGCATCTTCGAAGGAGTTGATCAAACCGAGCCAATTGATGGCGACCCTAAAGGTCTTCTAGTGCGTTTAACTTTCGCGGAAAATCAAAAGCTGGTAAACATTGTGAACTCCGAAGAAATTGGTTCTTTGGAAATTATGCACCAAACAAAAGCAAGTCAGTGCATCGCTGAGGGCAAAGGACTCGAGCAAGGTACTGTTGGAGGTGAAGCACAATTTGTTCTGACGACAAGAGACGCTCAAGCAAGACAGTGTTACAACAAACACGACCGTGTAACGGTAGAGATCAGTAATGAACAAGGACGAGAATGCGCGACGGAAGTACGAATAAATGACAATAAGGATGGAAGCTACACGATCAGCTATCCTCCAAAAGAACAAGGCAGATACAAAGTGACAGTAAAAGTAAACGGAGGACATGTTCTCGGCAGTCCTTTCACCGTTGAAGGACAGCCATTTCAGGTCAGACCTGTATTATCTTTTGGAAAATTTGGTTCGTCTGCTGGAATGTTTCAGAAACCCTGGGGGGTGGCAGTGAATGCCAGGGACGAGATAGCTGTAACTGATTGTGAGAACCACAGAGTTCAAATCTTCAGTAGTGATGGAAATTACTTAAGATCCTTTGGTCGGCAAGGGGTTCAACCCGGGGACTTTAAGTTTCCAAGGGGAATAGCATTTCATGAAAATGGAGATATTTTCGTGGTTAACAGTGGAAAAAATAGGATAGACATTTTCAGTGGGGATGGTAAGTACGTAGGTTCGATTGGTGGGTATGGAAGTTTTGATAGTCAGCTCTCTGATCCTCATGGTTTATCTGTAGACAGTGATGGAAATGTTATTGTTGCCGATACAGGTAACAAACTTATTAAGATCTTTTCTTCTCAAGGCAAGTTTCTAATGAAGATAGGTGAGCAAGGTTCTTTTACTTTTCCTTTCCACTGTGTTCAGTGTGATAGATTTCTTATAGTGTCAGACTTCGGTGAACATTGTCTGAAAGTTTACGACAGGACTGGAAACTTTCAGTACAAAATTGGAAAGCACGGTGGAGGGCACGGGGAGTTTATTTATCCACATTGTTTGTCAGTGAACAAGTCAGGACACCTGATGGTCTGTGATTACCACAATAAGAGAATACAAGTATTTACTCTAAATGGAAAGTTTGTTGGCAAGTTTGGATCAAAGGGCAGAAATTTAGGAGAGTTCAAATCTCCATGGTCTTTGGCAGTTCTAAGTAATGGCCGAATTGTTGTGTCTGACTGTTATAACCATCGTATGCAGATATTTGAGTGAAACGATGTCTGCTTCAACTTATGATAAGTGTCATTATTTTGTTGTTAAAGCATTAGCCTCGGCTTAGCTGATGATGAAGAAAAGAAATTCAACCACACAAGGACAAAATATTACTATGTCCGTAATCCCAATGAAGGTGATTATTTTGTCAATTTTACATTAAAACACACACCGTCGGAAAATCACAATTGTCGTCTTTTTGTAAGCAGTGCAGATGGATGAAAATATCCGCGAGTTCCAATCAATTTTTTGAGAAGTATACATTATTCCAAAAAGTTAATATTCCAAGTTGTGATTTTGAGCTAGTATACAATGTTAATATTCTCCGCCTAAACCGCCAGAATAATATTTTTTCTTTCAAACATATCAGCCATCACAACATTTAATGTTTGATTTTGCTATAGTCTTTATTCGGTAATTGACAAGCAATCGTTTATAAGGATTGTATTTAACTAGTCAGTTGTTTGATTTTCCAAATTTCTCAGCTTGATCGATAAGCTGATGTATGCATGGTGATATTGTTTAACCAATTTTAGTAATATTTTTGTAGAGAGGTATTCAAGGCCTGTGAATGCACCATTGAAGTTGGAGCTAAAAATGGTAAATTTAAAACATAGGAATATTGTGCAGTGCACCTGAAGATTTGATTTAGTGTGTAAAAACATATTTTATCCGGTATAAGAAATAACATAGCCTGGTGGGGGTAATTTAATTTGTGTAATTAACAAATCGAATGTGGTTTAGCGTTCTCTGTACTCTTATGATCTCTCATCGACAATGATATGCGTCATCACAGCGGTCAAAATGTTGTGGACTGACGAGGCGCAGCCGAGTGAGTCCACAACAAATTTCAACGTCAAAGAAAATGTTTTTTTCAGAGCGTGACCAAAAGCGTGACACATTGACACGAGTAGTTTGTCTGGACTCTTATCGACAACGACAAATTAGCCAGATTAGTAGCAATTGTGGTAAAAGTTAGCATAACCTACCGACCGATCTATCACACAGAAAATAGGTTTTATTTCAGAAACTCCACGAAGCCATTTTCAAAGATTTATCATGACCGGCTCTACAAGTTCAGTCTATCAATCTCTAGACGGCCCCCTGTGAAAATAATATCATTGTGTGTTTCCTGATAGTCGATTAGAGGTTATGCTAATAATCATTAGTTTTGTTTATATCATTATTATTCAATAATTTGCTGTTTCTATTGTTCTACTAAACATAACATTTGAGAAAAAAAAGTTCTACCTTTTTACTGAAAGAACAAAATAGTTTCTAGCTGTTGGAAATACTTGAGTACGTTTTATGTGAGGTTTTCAATAAAGTTTGTTTGAGTCTAACTGAAGTTGCTTTATATTTTGTGTATATGACCTGTGTACAGCTATTATTTTGCATGCCGTTGCATATTTTTCAAAACGTCTGTCTTTCTAGTAACACGAACATGACATTTGTTTCGTAATACAGCAATAGGCTGAAGACAGGTAGACTACGAGTAGTCCCTCTTTCGCTTAGTCCTTCGCTCATGACGCGAAAGGAAACTGCGAGAAAAATGCCCGCTCGAATTCGCGCGGCCATTTTTTTCTCGCGGTTTTCTTTCGCGTCACGGACAACGGACTAAGCGAAAGAGGGACTACTCGTAGTCTAGAAGACAGGGTAAAGTACAGGTGAAGACTTCAAATAAATTACATGAGTCAATTCAAAATTAATAGCTCTAGCGTGTAACGCAAGATTGATTTGTAATTATGATTGATTTCGGACGAGAGATAATATTGTGCATAGTAATAGCAATATCTGAAACATTTTGAGCGAGAAAAAGCCTGGCCGTTCTTAGGTTTGTTTTGCTATTTGCGCCTGAAAATATCTGTCGAGATGTTCTTGAGTTACATGTATTGGCATTTCAGTGAATAATGCGTGAGTGCCCAGGAACTTATCAAAGTGCTTAATTATTTTGCTTGTTAGCAGCTGTTATTGTTTTGGAGCTAGGGGGCATTGTTTCTGTTGTTTGTTCTATTATCCTCTTAAAGGGTATCAAGCCATTCATGTGATACCTTACAAGAGCTGCTACCCGACCCCTAGTACAACGACGACAATTGCAATGACAGAAGAACAAAACAGATCAACTCAAGGCGTCCGTTTATGAGGTGGCTGCCTACAGAAATTAATGTCAACGTACTTTTCTGTAGCGTCCACTCTAGTGCGCCGGAGAAATTTGAAAACGCAGCTTTATTTCTACGGTTAGGCCTACCGTCCACACTAATCCGTCACGAAAACGGAGCTTGTCAAGAACGCTTTTAAAACCGGAGTGATCTGAAAACGCCGGTGTTTTAATTTCGTGTGGACGAAAAAGCTTTTCGAAAACGATGGCGTCGCCATAATCCTGTGATATCCCTGATATTTGATGCGTTTTCAGAGTGACGTCACCGTTTTCAAATTGTTTGGGCGTGGTGTGGACTGGGCCTGAAGCTGTTTGTTAGTCGCTTGGTAGCCACTCACATGGTCGCTTGCACCTGATTTACATGGCTACGGTGGCGACAACGGGTAAAACCACATCCAGTATGACAGCAGCAACAGAATTTGAAAACAAGTTTGCTAAATTCAGGGCTAAAACATTGCGTAAATAGCAGGGTTAAGGCACGAGCTTGATATCTGCGCTAGGTAACACCAGATGCGAAGAGCGAAGTTGTTTATACTTCTAACTCCATAGACATTCAGTAACTCCACCCAAAACGTCGGTCCCCAGCTAGCAAAGGCTGAATCCAAAAACTGCAACGACTATTAAACGAATTGATTTCACTTTACACTTGGCAACTGCACCATGAATTGTTCCATTTTTGCTTCTTTTCCACAGAAAAACGGCAATCTTTGTGTAGGTGAGGAACATGTACATTAATGGAATAACAAATACCAGAAAAAAGTGTATTGTTTTGGATAGCTGGGTTTTCCATTTTGAAGGCAAATCACAGAAGCTATATTCTTTACAAGTTTCCGTGCCGTTGTCCTCTTTAGAGCAAATTACTTCAGTGTCTGTCCTAACGCTATAAATAAAAGGAACAGACGTTATAAAGGCGTAAATCAAAATGGCAGCAATTAGTTTAAAATACGTCTTTAAATGTCTCGGCGCCAAGCTATCAAAAGGTCGCAAGACGTTTCTGTGTCGGTCCCAGGCGATCGCGGCCAAACTGTTGAAAATGGCCGCGGCACATGCGTAGTCGATGAGCCCGAGAGCCTTGCATGATGAAGAGTTGCCCTTGGAGAATTGAATGTTCCAAAAAATTGGAACGGTCAAGTGAAACAGTAGATACGTTACAGACAAATGGAAAATCAGAAAACTTGAAATACTCTGCCGTATCTTGCCACTTCGAACCATGACAAAGACCACCATGATGTCACAAAGACAACCATAATGTGAGAACAGCACCGCATAAAAGCAACGCGTAGTAAGCGACTTTAAATAAGTAAACACAGTCTTTACGATAGAGACACGGTGATGAGGAATTTTAATCACTTGTGTTACTCCAGCTTTCTATAGTTTGATTCATTTTCATGTCTGTTATTGCTTTTCTCCTGAGTTTCGTCTTGAACGCCCTGACTGGCAGGAGACGAGAAAACGGTCTTTTTGGACTCAAAATCCTCGCTTAATTCTCTACCAAAACACAGTAAGCTCTGTTGGTTAAATGCAAGCCTTAACCCGTTGAGATAGCGCGTGTGATGAAAGCCATATAAATTTTCTCTTAATGTTCCGGACACAGGTTGGTGAACAGCTAAGTCAATAAAACCCACTGCGAAAAATCAAGAGTATGATTACCATGCACGAACAGCAAAGAGGAAGCTTTTGGACAAGTACAATGAAAATCAATTATGAAGCCCCCGGTCTGTCTTTTTACGGTCAAATATATTAATTTTTATTTCTGCATTCTCTGTCTTACAATATTTTAGAAAATAACAGAAATAACCTATAAGTGCTATCAGTTTAGGTCTTACTAATTCACTGTGTATTTTTTCGCTCAGAGTTTGCCATCACACAACGCACGTGCGCTGTTTAAACTGAGTTTTTGCCGCCGTCAAACAAAACTACAGCAGTCGTAATGGTCAAACCTAACTGGAAAGCTAACTTGTTCTACTCTTTGAAATCGTAGTCTGAGAGATTCGTCAAGGCTGCAATATTCATATACCGTGAGAACAACTGAATTAAACCACGTACGAACCACAAAAAAGACCCTTAATAACGAGGTGACCATATCAACCGGGCAAGTGTCTGCACAAACCTGGAAAGAGGCCGTATGAAACGGCAGGTGTACTTATTACCCTGGAAGTGACCGGACCGACTGCGTATCTACCGTTTCAACTGGGCAGATTTACGTATTAAATGTGAAGGTTTATGTATGAACCTGCCTGGTTCCCGCATCAACAGGGTATAACGTAAGTGGTCGTGCCCTCCGAGCAGGTGTACGTATCAACCGGGCAGGTGTGCGTATTAGCCGGGGAAGAGTCTGTATCGACCGGGCAGGTTTCCGTATCGAACAGGCAGGTGTGCCTATCAACCGAGCCAGTGACCGTATCACATAACTGTGCGGGTATCCGTATCAACCGGGCAGGTGTTCGTAAAGCGGGTTGCGGCACTCCTTTTTAATTTTTTTCTGTGTAGTTTGTGTATGAAATACTAGAGGTATCAGTAGTGCACTCCGCGCAAAACTTTCAATGGTATAAGTTAAATTTTCAAACAGTAACTAACCAATCACAAAGCATAATGCATCGGTACTTGGAAATAACCTAGTAGACGTCAATCTATGGCTATTTATCAGACGCTCTTCTCGTCTTTGCCCTTTATAAACAGGCAACTCAACAGGACGGTTTGAAGAGGGGGTGTACACTGTAAATACCATTCCTCAACCCAATTTGTGCCCAGATCCCATCCCAAGGGTTTTTAGTTTGTTGTTTCCAGTCCCCGTGACCCAAATCCCGTTTTCCCAGAGGAAAAAAAAAAATGCCTTTCAAATTCCACTTCTCATTTCACCTCTTCAGATCCCTCTCAAAATAAAAATATAACACAGACCGCACGAGAAAGTAAAGGAAAATAACAGCAGTATTTTCTGCAGATCAAACAAGTCAAAATTACAGTATTTTAAAACAAAATCATGGCTTGATATTCAGTGAATGGCGAGCTATTGAATAAGATTGAAGTCAAGTTAAAGCTTCTTTATACAGTAATTCATTTTTCGGTGGAATATTCACAGTTTTGTTTAACTTGATTCACTTTATAATTTCAATTTCGATCACCTGCCAAGATACGTCCCTGCATGGACAAATTAAAACTGAGAGAGGCCTTGTTGTTTTTGCTTCGTACTTTTTTTTCCTAAAACGTCTGGCTCACGTTTTTCCAAAAGTGTGAGAATCACAAATTGAAGCTTGTTATGTAACGTTTAACTACGTGCATGAACTCACAAACAACATTACGGGCTTGTTTTTGTGCCCACGGCGATTCGGCGGACGCGAGGGTGGGGAGGTACGGGAAAACGCTGGCAAGAGTGTATAAACTGGGGCTCTAATTCCAGTTCAAAATCAGGTCAAACAAGGTATTTATGAAGAAATTCGATGAAAAAAGAAGAAAAAGCTAGTGAAAACTGCTCTGAAATATTAAAATATCCACAACCAGTTCTGGCAGTTTGTAAATTCTTCTAATGGCATCTGCAATACACGTCACATAAAGCACTACAAATGAGCTCTCTCACTTCAGGTTTTGATAAACGTTTGTTGAGTATAAAACAATTCATGTTTGGTTTCTCCTTCTAAAGGTACGGCTGGGTATATAAAAAGATTAAACAGTGTTAATATTGCATTGTGAGCAATACTGTTGAAACAAAATACAACCATGGTTGATTTACGACAACGAAGCGAGACCAAACTGCACAAACTAAAATTAAAGAGAGATACAAGGTATTTTATGAAAACAGTCTGGATATTCAACGAAGGAATTGCATATCATAAATTCCCCTGACAATCTATTTCCAGAGAAGTCTAGAAGATTTGCAAATTCAATTTGCAAATCAACGGCTTTCGGTGGAACTTTTATTTGTTAAAATAATCAAATATGCGGGATGTGCACTTTTCAGTTCCTTTGTAAACCGGCATTTGGGTGCGCTTGCACAAGCTGTAAGAAAACTAAATTTAATACATGTTTCTAATGGATGTTCTCTTCGTCTAAAATACTGAACTCACGTGTTTCCAAAGAGTTTGTTACATAACTGATCTGCTGCAAGTGATCGTAGACGTCCTCAATTATTAGGCAATTTAGGTAACCACGATTGCAAGCGACGACAGGGAAAACGCCGTTTAATACATTATAAATGAATTTAGAATTTGCTTACGATTCTCGCTATACAGTTAAGTCATTTAGTTTGATTGTCTTTGTCAAAACCATCTTGAAACTGAAAATGGAACACGGTGTTTAATCTGAAAAAGGAAATTAGAAAATAAGCCGTCTTGGCTCACGTTCTCAAGACAACGCAGAATGTGGTCATATGCCATTTTGCAGATGACGGCAAAGAAATGCACCAAGAATTATACTGTTGTGCTCATTAAACCTTTTAGTTAGCCACGCTGCCGTTGCCATTGCGTTCGTGTTTTTCTTAAACATCCTAGTATGATTACAACAATACATGCAGTTGTTTTGCTCCTTCAGTGAATTTTTTCCATGCCCAATGACTCTTAAAGTAAAAGGTCTTCTGAGAATACTGCCAATTAGGTCTCTCCAAAAATCATAGTTACTCTAAAATGCTCCGAGGTGTTTTAAATCCACGTAGAGTAAAGAAAATCGTCTTTTTTGTTTTGAAAATTGAATTTCTCAGTGTTGTTCTCAGTGAATCATGTGAAAACAGTTGCATAGCTGTGAGTTAACTCAAACGGGAAATATTTTTCTCTGTTTATTTTTCAAAATGGTCGACCTCACGTTTTCCCGACGCCATGTGAAACCAATTTTCAAAATGCATGTTATATAAGGTTAAATAAACTGCATCTTGCATTGAGCTTAACACGTTATTGTTACCAAGACAATTTTAAAGTTTATTATTTCTGGCGGGGAGTTAACGGGTGTTGTGAAGTGAAGGTCAAAATTGCTACGGAGGGCCACATGACAATTACAAAAACAAAAGAGACTAAACGAAGCGTGTATAGTAAAGTGAGATGACCTAGGGAGAACGCTGTGTAGATTTTATCCATTTATCAATTTTATATTCTATACTTTTAGCTTGGTAAAAGCTAACGTTGTTTAGTATTTTATTTTGGTTATAGCAAACTGTCCCCCTTTCTTGCAATAGTCACATTGACAGGAACTTACAGCATATAACGACACAAAACTCGCCTAGAAAAACACCATCGACGCATTATTCCACGTGTTATATAACGAAACGAAAACTCACGTGCACCTGCAACACCTGTTCAGCTTTGGTTCCTTCCTGAACAAGAGGGGATAAAAAGGAATCAATAACACACCGCAATCTTCACATTAGACTTGAATTTAAAGCGATAGACATGGAGAAAGGAAAACAACACGGCAAGACAAGCAGTGCAACATTCCTACCCGATGCTGCGATATCTTCCAGATTTCTGTACAGTTTTCAAGGAATGATTCATCCCGTAAATGCTAATGCTCCATTCGCAGATAAAAGAGTTTTAATTCAAGACATTCCAGAAAGTAGCGAGGCTAACAGAGTCCGCCAGATATGCAGTGAGTTGTTATCGTCACTATCAGCCAAGAAGAAGTTATTCCAAGTGGGCAGTCAGCATCAAACGCGTGAGGGGAAATCGTGGGCGCTGGCATGTGAAGGCGGGAATTATGGTGGGCAACATGAAGATACGAAACTGTCATTGCCTTTCTTGGTACACACAAAAAGCACAGAGTGCAACTCCCCCGTTTCGAGGGACTGCTCGAAGGAAATTGCCACCTTTGAGAGCGCAGCTCAAGCGGTATCCAACAAAGACAACAAGGAATACAAGTTAGAAAAAACAATCGCTCAGCAACCTGAAAAACAAGACAAGTTAAGCGACGAACCTGCTGGAAAGAAGAGAAAAGAAGACGCTTTAGAAGACGATCACACACGTAACGGACCAAAAGAAAGAGAAACTTATTGGGAGCGAAGAAAGAAAAATAATGCTTCGGCAAAAAAGTCAAGGGACGCGAGAAAAGCCCGAGAACTGCAAACACAAATAAAGGCAGCTTTTCTTGAGAGGGAGAACCTGGGAATACATGCACAGCTTATGATTGCTCAACAGGAAAATGCGTGTTTAAAACGAATTTTATGCGCCAAAATGTAGAGAACGTTGTGACTGTAGACATTTGTGTTTGTAATTTGTACCAGCTGACGCGTTTATAAAATGCCTTGCCATTGCTTAGAAATAGTTTTTTCTTGATATAACTATGTATAAAAATCCCTCTTAATGCAGGAATCTCTGTGTAGTTAGAAGGGCGGTAGCCCGTGACAGGCAAAGTGAGGCACTTGCCTCAGTCATCTTTTTCGTTTTCTGTTGTTTACAGTCATCATAAACACGCTAAATACCTAGGAAGAGAATTTAACCATGGACATTCCGTCGGTTTTAATTTTTTCATGGACAATGCATGAGTCACATTAAATTTTTCTGGCCACGGTCCTGGTTATTTACTGTTATGTGTACTGATATTTCACATACCGCACTGCTTTTAAAACTTGATTGACACATTGTATTATCTGACAATTTGTCATTGAATCGTTAAGAATAATTGCTTACTTCACTCACGGTTTATTTTTTATTCGTCTTCGCAGATGTCACCCATCATCTGTCTGTGTGTAAATCGTTCCTCTCTGTGGGGCTGAGGGGGTGGAGAGGAGTGGGCAGGGGGTGGAGGGGCGTGGACAGGGGGTGGGGGAAAGACTACGTGAGGAGAATAGTGTCTCTACTTAATTTAAATTTCGCAATAATGGAAGAGACAAATGTCGTGAGACTTAAAGGAGCTCACTCACGGTATTTTGAGTTATTTTGGCCGCATACAAAATTACCTTTAAATGGTAGGAAACCTGAAAATAACA